AAAGTCTATTATCAATAGATTTTTGAAAACTACAGGAGAAAATAAAAATATGCAAGAGTTTGGCACCATGCTCATATGACTCAACACATGCAACTGTGTTGAATAGGTAATATTGTGATTCACAAACACCCAGCAGAAAGTCTGAAGTATAATATGTACTTGGAATATCTTTTGGCTCAGTGAACGAATGAATGAAACTTCTAATCCTCCAGCTATGCCTTGTCAAAAGAAAAATAATAATAAAATGGAATAACGCTTGTAACAAGAAAAATAATTAAAAAATGAAACAACGTCTGTAACTCCTATCGTAGAAACGGCGACGCCCCACGTCCCGCGTCTCCGCCAGTCTCCGCGCCGGCGCCGCCGCCGGACCAGCCGCACAGGCCGGAGGGAGGGGCCGGGGCGGGGCTGGGGACCGACCGGGGGAGGGGGCGACTCCGGCACTGAAGACCCACCCACGCCCCGCCCGCCGCCGCGGAGGCCCCGCCCACTCCGCCTGCCTGCCCCTACTCCACCCGCACCGCCCCCCCAACACCCCTGCGGCTCCTGCGGACGCTGTCTCCGCGGTGTGGCTGGGAGCCGCGAGCCGGATCCCGGATCCCGGATCTCCGATCCCGGATCTCGCCAGCTGCCTCCGGCTCCCGTAAAGGGCCGTGTAGTCGGTCTCAGGGGCTGGGATAAGGCTCCGTGAAAAAAAGGCAGCTGAGGCAGCAGGGATTTCGGACTCCAGGAGCCCGACTCGGCTGCCTCCCGGCGGCTCCCTTCCCACCTTTCTTGGGGTTCACCTATGGAATATGCTAGTATGGTCTCGGTTGAACAGGGGGAGGCGGGGACCGTCTGTACCTCGAAACGGATATCTGGGCGGCGGAACGGCAGTACCCAGAGGTCTGGGAGAAGGATCTGACGGGGTAGAAAGGTGGGGACTTTATTCAGCTCTGGGTGCCTCAGGAGCCCCCTCGTGAGGAAATTATGGTTCAGGCCATCCAGTGGCTCGTTTCCACACACCAAAGATCCTGGGCAATTCTCAGAATCTTCACATTGTGGAAAAGCATAGCAACTATAAGTTAACGGGGACCGAGTACTTATTGTGTGCCAGACACAGAACTAGTCGCGTTACATATACCATCTTATTTAATAGTCGTAACCGCAGTAGGTAGTTTATTAGCCCTGTTTTACAGAGGAAGAAACGGGTCTCTAGCTCCCCCAAATATTAGCCTTGAGCACTCAGCTAGAAAGTGGTGGAACCTGGATTTGAGCCCTGCTTTTAGGTTCCACCACCAACATTCGGAGATTCAGTACCTTCCATGTAGAAAAAAATCCCCAGTGGCCCCTAAAGTGGATGTTTATATGAGGACTACCTCCCTCCCCCCACAAATACCAAGCCCTATGCAGATGACTGACTGCAGGCTGACCAAAGCCCAGAAGCCTGTCTGGGAGCTGTAGTATCTGTGACAAAGAGCAAAGTCAGGCTTGTGTGAATCCCAGTGCTGTGAGAATCTGCTGACTGGGTTGTCCCCTTCCTCCAGCCTTCCAGAGGTGGGGAATGGTGAAAAATTCTGGAGCTCCCTTGACCAAAGGGCACAGGAACGATGACACCTGAGCCCTGACCAAACCAAAGTGCTGTTAGGGAGCTTTCTTGTGACTTCTCACATAAAGTTCAGATTTAGGCTCAACCAATGCAGCACAGGAGCTCCAGTGCTTGTGAAGGAGCCTCAGACAAGGTTCATGCTAGTTTTGGGCTAGAACTACGAGATTACCCAAGGTGAAGGAACTGAGGTCTATAGGACACAATATTAAGCCCCAAAAGGACTACTTTTCTCAACCCTAGACTTCTCTCATTCTGTCAAATTTCTACATAAAAGGCTTCAGAGCTCTTTGTCCAGAGGGCAAAAATCCTTACGCAGCCTGCAGTCTTCTAGCCACACCCCCTTCATTTTTCATTCCAAACTGAATTCCTCCCAATCTGCTCAGAGTCTTCGTATATGTTGGCCTCTCTGCCTGTGATTTTCTTCCTTTTCTTCTTTGGCTGGCTGTTGTCTACTCATCCTTCAGGTCTCAGCTTTCAAATTGGCATCCCCATTTCCACTCCTCTACACTGTGCCCTGCACTGCCACTGCACCTGTACCCTAGGACTTATCACTGCATTATAGTTGCTTGGTTACTTGTCTCTATCCCCCACTAGGCCTTAAGCACTGTGGGCAGGGACTGTGTTGTATTCACTGTTGTTTCCCCAGGGTCTAATGCAGTGCCTGGCTAAATAAAAGCACTCAGTAAATATTTGCTGTATGAATGAATGCATGATGGTCAGTAAACCCAACCCCCTCTGGATTCTGTGCTCTTAAGATCCATAACTATCGTGGTGCTGGCTGAAGAACAAATAAAGCTTTGGCTCCAACTGGGGCTGGGGAAGAAGACTGAGCCCTCAGACTGGCGCCGGTTCTTTTGATGTGAAGGATTTTGGTGTATGATTAGACTGAGCATTTCTCTACCCAGCCCTCCCTCCTAGAATCCCCCACAAATTGACCTCACTGGGCCTGCTTTTATGAAAGGTTTATTCCTAGTGCTAGATCCCAATCTTCCTGGGCTCTAAGCACAATTAAACTGGGTGGGTGGGTGAGAGGAGGCCCATTCAGATGCAAGACCAGAAACAGGGCTCCCTATTATCCCTACCCCTTTGGTCCCAGTCCCCTTCTCTGCAATGGGCACGCATAGAGGACAGACAAAGGGTATTGGAGGCAACATCATTGGCCCAGGGGAGCCCAAGAAGAGCTGCCATTGGCTGACAGGGCCTTTTGAGGCTCTGCCATTGGTCAGGGGGCACACCCCAGCCTGAGGAGTGATGCCATTGGCTAAGGAGTGGTTTTATCATAGCCTTTGGCTGTGGAGTGGAAAAAAAAAGATCTGGGAATGAAGCCCAGTGGCCAGGAAGATAAAGGACAGAGCAGCAGTTTCTGGGCCTGCAGGTCCTCTTCCCACCACAGCAATGTGGGCAAAACTGGTGACAGGCCCCAACCAGAAAGAGGGAGCCCAAGCCAGAGAGCAAGTGGCAAGGGATGTTCCATGTCCAATCTCCCCCACCCTGGGGCTGTCCTTCCCAATGTCCTTCTTGATAGCCAAGTTGGGCGGGGAGCTGCTCACTGCTCCTCTAGCCAGGAGGGTTTCTCAGCTCCTGGAGGCCGCAGCTTGATGTTGAACTGCTGCAGGGTCTGCTCCAGCTGTTTCTGGTTTCCAGCAAAGTAGGCGGACACAGCATTGTGGAAGAGCAGCAGCTGCTTGTGCATCACCTTGATCTGGGGGTCCAACAGGGTCAGCTAAGGCTGTACTCAGGCACCCTTCTTGAGGGTCTATAAGACTGAATCTGGGCACAGATCAGAGGGATGTAGACTCTACTCTAAAGGTGCTTTTGGGGTGGGGCTGAACTCCACCCAGGGAGTCAAAAGAGAAGGGTCAATCTGATGGAAGAAACCTGACTTGATTTGCTGGGCAGAAGGTTCTGTTATCCAGCTCAAGAGGTGATTTTTCCCAATTATGTCCCTGGGACCAGCAGCCATATCCTCGAACAGGGAAGGACTAGAGATTTGAGAGAGGGTGACCTGGAAAGGCCTAGGGGCGGAGGCGGCTAAGGCTATCATCCCATTTCCTAGTTTGACCGCATTTCCCTATCCAGTGATGGAGAGGGTCTGAGGGAAAGGTTGGTGTCATCGATAGAAGATGAGCTAGGGTCAAGGGGGTGGGGTTGGCACCTTGTTTTCTTCCAGGAACTTGAGCTTGATGGCCACATCTCCCCGAAGCTTCTCATACTTGTCCCGATGGGCCTGGAAAGTGGCCTGGGCACTCTCAAGTCGACCACGTGTCCCTGCATCCCGGGGGCCTAGGCTCAGCTCCTCTAAGTCTGTTCGGTAGGCATCATATTCCAGCCTGGGGAGGGGATGATACAGGCTGGTCTGTATCACTTTGTTCTCAACACTCTTTTCCTTACTGAATTCTTATGCCCCTCATGCCCAAACTTCCACCCATACCAGTCAATTCCCTAAATGCTAGGCCCTGCCAGTGCCCACACCTGGCAGCCTCATACTGTTTCACAGTCATGAGTGTGTCTTCCATTGTCTTGGTTACCAACGTGTTGATGCTAGAGACAAAGAAGTTCACAGCCCCTAGCAGCGTCTCCCCGTTCTTGCATAGCAGTTTCTGTGTCTCTGCATTGTAGCCAAATTCCTCCTGAGGGCATAAGGGAGGGACGGACTTTGAGTAAACAACCCTTACCTAACTGGAGCTGTAGAGCCCTTCATTTCTCCCCCTCCACAGGAAGAAAACAGCCTTAGAAACAGGAACAACCAAGGACTGCCTCCAGCAAGGCTCTCTTAGCCAGGAAGCTAGTGGGGAAACCCTGGGGATGCCTGGGGTAGGAAAGTGGTTGGTGGGGGTTCTCAGATAGGATCACAAGACTGGAACAGGGAGATACAGTGCGGTAGGCAGGGGAGGAGCTCTGATTAGGCTGAGCACTGAAGGCATTCTTCCCAATGCAGAGGAGGATTGCTTGTGAGGCACCTAGTGTGCCCCCTCCCCCACCCCTCCAACTTCTGGACCTCTGTACAAACCCTTAGGTTGCCTCCACAGGTGAGTGCTGCTGGGGACAGGGCTGGGCCCACCCTGGAGGGGTTCTCCCTTGGGCTGCAGGAAGGAGGGAGGGAGGGGAGGGAAGCTGAGGAGTGACTGAGAGGGCCTGGGCCCAGTACCCCCATCCTCTTTGGTCTGGCCAAGGCACCTGAAGCTCTGGAGACTTCTGGCTGAGGTCAGCAAAGGCGTCACCCAGTGCATGTTGGGTCTGCAGTAGGCTGTAGAGGTGGGCTGTCAGTGCCCGGCCCAGCTGCAGTACACTCTCATACTTGCGCTTTGTCTCACGCAGCAACTCAATCTGCAGCTCTAGCTCCAGGTCCACAGTCCGGGAGCCTCGGCCAAATCGTTCTGATAACAGCTGCTTTGTGCACTGATTGGGAAGTGGGGGAATATGTAAAAGATCCTAGCAGCCTTCCCACCAACAGGTACCCACCCCAGTACCCCCAGGCTCTTAGTCTCAGCTATAGATGGGATATTAGGATCTGGGAAAAAGTGAAAAAGGCATCCAAGGGAAGTTTTGGGGAAAGTGAACGTACTTGAATCCTACCTTATATGTGTTGATACCCCATTTCTTGACGATGTCAAACTTTTCTCCAGCGATGCCCCGAGCTACCTCATCTCCAGGGCCAGCAGGAGTGGTGCTGTGAGATGGATGGCGGCCAGACCCTAAAGGATCAAGTTCTCTGACACTAGCCTCTCTCAGATACACCAAATGCCTCTGTGGTCCCACCCGTACCTTCCTCCCAGTACTTGAAAATGACTTCCCTGAAGGAGATGCTAGAGACAACTGGATTCTCCTGCCCACTAGGAAGAACTTGGACCCCATGCCCTGAGAACCAAATCCTACTGGTCTCCTTGGAGGTGGAGAGGGTGGTTTGCAGGGAGTTGCGGGTGTACAGGAGCAGAAGAAACAAAAGAAAATACACTGAGTTTGGGGGTGGGAGGAATCAATGATGGTGGGTTCTGTCAAACAGGAAACCTGATTGAATCAGTGTGTGATACAGGGCTGTTTTTGTTCCTCTAAATTTTAGAGTCTAAAGTAAAACTCTAAGAAGTCTCATGAAGTTCCAACTCAGCCTCAAGCTCTAGAACAGGGGAAGTCCTGTGAAGTAGAAGTCTTAACTTGGCCAGGTGGCAGCAGGGAAAAGACAAATGAACCATTTCAGGGCTTAAATGGCAAGAGGAAAGCAGATGGACAACCCTGGGAGCTGGTCTGGGGCTGAGAAGACTCCATGGAATTCATATGCACAGAAGTCCCCAAGATCTCCAGACATAATTCAAGCTTTCCTTGACATGCCCTATGTTCCCCCAAACCATTCCTATCCCTCTACTCAAGTTTCCTGTCTCTGATTATTCATACCTGTGGGGATGAGTCCATCACCAGAGCCTCCATAGCCACCAGATACAATGCTGGTTTCATTGAGGTTGGGTCCTGACACCATCACCTGCTGAAGGTCCTGTAGGCCAGAAAAGGAGGGGTGCCTCAGGAACACAGGGGCAGCCAAATCATTTCAGGGGTGGGAACAAGTTTGAATTGAAGCACCATAAAGAAAGTACACAAGGGAAGTCTGCACAGAATCAGAAAGAAGATTTGTAAAAAGAATGGAGTTAGATAAGTTAGGGGAAGGCGACCGGAATGGCGGTGAGAGCCTAAGGTTTATAAATTGGGATTCCTAAGTGAAAACAACTAGTATACTCAAACAGATGCACCTGCTCCAGTCCATCATCTTCAGGAAGCTGCCCAGCTTCGCCGTTCCCGTGGATGGGGATCTCCATTGTGGCTGCCTTCCCTAGGATCCCGTCCGTCATGGCTAGGGAAGGTACTGGAGTCAAGATCTCCACTCCAGCACCCTGCAAAGCCCAACACAGATAGTTCTGGAAACTGCCCGGCACTCTAGAACAGGGAGGCCTCCTCTCCCATTTCTGAGCTTTTAGAGTTTGTCCCAGGGCTTGAGAGTCCCAGGATCTGGCCACCACTCCCTTCTTCAGGTTTATGTATTGCTCTCCTGCAAAGTGCACATTTTTACACATGCACACCAAACTCAGGAGTCTTCTCATAACCTCACCTCACCAGAAGTCCAGTGATCATTCATGCATTCATTCACTCAACAGACATCCAGCGAGAGCCTACTATGTGTCAGGCACTATTTGAGGCAATGAAAATACAGCAGTGAGGAAAAGAAAGTCTGTGCTCTCTTGGAACTTATCCTCATGCAGGTGTGTTTACTCTCCCCAGGAGACAAACTCCTTTCCAGGGCTCAGGAGTTCACCCCCCCATTCAGGTATGTCCTCCATTGCTCGGCCTTTCACATTCCTTTAGTGCCTCCTCTCCCTTCCTTCAGGTAGTCTCCCCGCTCCTCCACCTCATGTATCTCCTCTTCTCTGGGCCCTCCCCGCCAGGCCTTAGTTGAATCAAATGGTGTATGATCCCAGCCACTGGTAAAAGCCTCACTTTAGCTGGACATGGGTGATCCCTTCCAAAGTCAGTTCTGTCTCCCAGGTGTGTGAGTCCCCCCCCCATACACCTGGACATCAGGTGTGCCCTCATCCTTCCCCAAGGCTTAGGAAAACTGTGCCCTCAGGACGGTTCGTGCATTTAACTTGCCCTCGCCCACGTCTGTCCCTCTCACCTCGGGCCGGGCCGCTCTTCCCCTCAGGGCGCCAGGCCCGGGCCGCTCGGGGACCTCGGGCTCCAGTTCCCGTCGCGATCCTAGCAGCAGGTCAGGGAATCGGCGGAAGTGACGTCCTCTCCGGGCAGAAGAAGCCGGCCACGTCGCAGATTATAAGGGCGGAAGTGACGTCGGCAGTTGGTGGCAGGACGATCCTTGAGCCCACCCCTCAGTCCTTGGAGAGCGGCGAGAGACTACTTCCGGGGCGGTGCCGAGAAGCCGTAACGGAGGTGACGTAGGCCGTGCGCCGGCGGCGGGATGGAGCACCAGCAGCAGCAGCAGCAACTGAGAAACGTGAGTGAGAATGAAGTTACTTCGGGGCCAGACGTTCGGCTCACGTCTCTGTCCACATCGCGGGAACCCCACAGACCTAGGTGTATGAGGGCTGGAAACCTCGGGCTGTGGTGCTCGATCCTGGGAAACCTCGGACGGTGGGCCTTGAGTTGAAGTGTGGGGGCTCTTGTCTATAAGTTCTTGATCCCTTTCTTCTCCCAGCTGCGTGACTTCTTGTTGGTCTACAATCGGATGACAGAACTCTGCTTCCAGCGCTGTGTGCCCAGCCTACACCACCGAGCTCTGGACGCTGAGGAGGTGGGAAACTGTGTAGGGAATTTACCCTCTCTCCTCAGAGTTAACTGTTTCCCTCCTCCCCCCACAACCCTACCTCTGGCCCTGGCTTTTTCCCCACCCTCCCCCCCAGGCCGATGATGGGGAAGGAAGGAAACGGGACCGACAGGACATCTTTGGACCCTACTTTCACCCTTTCTTCCTTCCAGGAGGCCTGTCTGCACAGCTGTGCTGGGAAGCTGATACATTCTAACCACCGCCTCATGGCCGCTTACGTGCAACTCATGCCTGCCCTGGTACAGCGCCGCATCGCAGACTACGAGGCAGCCTCGGCTGTGCCAGGTGTTGCTGCTGAACAGCCCGGAGTCTCATCATCAGGCAGCTAGCTGTCCCCAACCCTAGGAGGGAAGGCGCTGAATGGGCCCTCAGATTGAAGGACCCAATGGACCTTGAGCTTGGTGAATCCTATACAGAAAGAATGAAGGGTTGCCTGAAAGCTGGGTATCATTGCTCCTTTTTCTGGAGCCAATAAACCCGCTTTTAACTTGTTTAGTTTATATTGTGGGCAGGGAGCTTTTGTGTACTTTATTGGTACCATCGCTTGTTTTGTCATTTAAATGGTATCTGCTGGCTTCATCCCTGGTGACTGAGAAGTTGCCTTCTATGCGTTAGAAGGAAAACCTCAGCATTTCCAGGCATCTGATTAAAGCAAGGTTTGTGTTTACAATGTTAAGGAACAGGAAGTTGGTTCCTACCCAGATGACAAAAAATGAAAGCTCTGTCTGGCTGTCCTTAAGTATATCTGACATTTGGCTCACCTGTGAGCCAAGTATGCATTGGTTCATAACTTTCTTGTGTGGACTATGTCTTAATATGAAGTAATTCTGCTGGATCTAGAGAAAGGAGGCATTATATAAGTACAGCAGATCGAAAAACCACAGGACTTTTGACACTGCCTCCTGTGAAGTCAATGGCCACTGAAGAGAGATGAAACCTGTAAGAATTCTGGGGTGTTCTGAAACTTTATTTCCCCAGGTTGTTACTTTCTTAGTATATACTGTCCTCCAGGATAAGCAGTAAAACTTTTGAACAAAGAAGGTCCATGTGCTTGTCTTCAGGGACAATCAGGAAGCAGAAAACTTGGGGACCATATTCTGCAGTACACTCAAGCTTGAGGACAAGAAACCCAAGGAAGAAGTAGATAGTAGTGGTTATGGTAAAAAAGACTAAAACACAAGCCAGGGACATTGGCTCATGCCTGTAATCCCAGCATTTTGGGAGGCCAAGACAAGAAAATTGCTTCAGCCTAGGAGTTTGATACCATCCTAGCCAACATAGTGAGACCTTGTCTCTACAACAAATAAAAAAAACTAGTCTGGTGTGGCTGCATGCACTTGTAGTCCCAGCTACTTGGGAGACTGAGGCAGAAGGATCACCTGAGCCCTGAAGGTCAAGGTTGCAGTGAGCTGTGATTGTGCTGCTGCATTCTATTCTGGGTGACAGTGAGACCCTGACCAAAAAAAAAAGATAAGATGAAATTTTGGGGGCCTTTTTAATGTTATCTTAATATCTCACTGCTTGTCTCTAATCTCCTAATTCCAGCTTTCATCCTCTACCCTGCATCATTCCCACTGTACCTGCTCTGTAATTTCGAATCCCAGCCTCTAGTCTTTTCTCATTATTGCCCCTACTTAGTGTAATTTGCTACTGTATTCAGTAGTCTGAATGGCATATCACTGCATCATTTCATTTTCTTGCCACTCTTGGCCTCCTTTTTGTAGCATTCTATTTCTGTTATCTTTTCTATTCCTCCATTCAAACTGCTAGAGAAAAACAGTTGTTTAATGAATGCCACTAAATGTTCAAGGTCTCCAACCTTAGCCAAGCTCTCACTACCAACATGCAACCCTTTTTGGTTTCCTGTTTCATTCTCTTGTTTGATTACCATGGCAGTTATTTTACACCTTCACTACTCTCCTTAATCCCACACCCCAACCTCAGTGGGTGACTTTGTTTAAATTTTTGCAGAAGAATTGAAACACTTGAGCATTGGCTCCCAAAATAATAAAAGCTCATTACAGCCACCCACAAAGCTGATGTTCTTTCCCATCTACAGATCAAAAATTTGAGATTGTCAAGTACCAGCCTTTTATATTAAAATGCAGATCTGACTTTAAAGTCCTTGTTCTTTTTACTATACAAGTTTGTCTTTCAAATTTACATGTCTATTGGCACCCACTTGGTATAGTTTTGTTTTGCTTTTTTCTCCATAAGACCCTCTGGAAATGTGGTATAGTTTCTGATGTTGATAGATGTCATGCTTTATTTTAGTTACTGTTTATAACAAAACTACAAGTAAGAGGTATTAGTTCCACTTAAAAGATATGGAAGCAAGAGTCTGGAATGTACCAGATGCCCATTTTATGCACAGCTACCTGATGAGAAAAGTGGCTCCAATCTTTGGCTGCTATCTCTTGAATAAATCTTAAACAGAAAAATATGTTAGGAAGGTAAAAGTAGCTGACCAGGACCTTCCCTACTGAGTGGCTTTATGTCTACCCTGTAAATTTTTCTCTTTGGAAAGTATAAATGCAAATAAAACATCTCATGTACTTGTACTTCTCAACTCCCAGAAGACAGAAGAATGGGGCCTGTGATACTGTGCTACTGATGGGAGAATTCTTCCACATCAACATTTGTGTGTATCTTTGTGATAAACCATTGTGAAATATCTTTGCTTCTCTTTCCATGTCTTATAATCAGTAGAAGAAGGGCTAGGAACAGATGTCTAACTCTATAGCATGTACTGTCTGAACATCCAGAACTTCTTTTTTTTTTTGGAATGAGAGTCTCACTCTGTTAACCAGGCTGGAGTGCAGTGGCATGCTCACAGGTCCACCACAGCCTCGACCTGCTGGACTCCAGCAATCCTTCCGCCCCAACCTTCTAAGTCACTGGAACTACAGGCGTATGCTACCACACCCAGCTTATTTTTTGATTTATTGTAGAGACGAAGTCTCACCAAGTTGCCCAGGCTAATCTTGAACCCCTGAGCTGAGGCAAGAGCCTCGGCCTCCCAAAGTGCTGGGATTTCAGGCTTGAGCCACCGCCCAGCTCATTTCAGAGCTTCTATCTGCCAGCTTATCTATACTCAACCTGCCTCTAGACATGGGAAAACAAGTGTCCCTCAGTCTGACCCATCATTGCCTTTTTTCCTGGCTCTCTAATAATAATTAAAATAATAATAAAACAATTATTTTTTGGTAGAGTAGGCCCCTTGTAATGTAGGCTTTCCCCACTAGATAACTGTTCTAGGAACCAGTGTATTAGCTAACATTGTTAAAGGCTACATTTGGCTTCAGTAACTTTTTTTTTTTTTTTTTTGAGGTTCTTTCAGTATGTTTGCCCATTTCATGATGGGTGATTTACAAACAAACCTACATACAATATGCTGAGTGTTCAGCAGTTTTTGACCAAAAATGGAATGACCTCCATACCCTACCCTTCCTATTCACAGGGTCTCTCCCCGAGTGACTTGAGTGACGTTTTTCGTTACCCCGGATGAAAAAAGTTCTCAAAGGGAAAAGTTATCCAATGTGGAAGAGGCGGGACAATGGCAGAACCACTAAAAGGCAAAATTGATGAGTTCAAAAGCAGCAGTGGAAAAAGCATCTTAATAGGTGTATTGCATCAAGTGGAGAGTACTTTGAAGGTGACTGAAGGGTAAACATGTAAGAATATACGATTTTTAATAAGTAAATTCTGGGAGGTTGGGGGTCCCCCCTCGTTTGTTCAATTAATAGGAGAAAAACCTTAATCCTACCTCTACTATAGTCTTTCATCGTCCTGAGGTCTTGCCATAAAATGGTAGCCATTGGCATAATGAGTACAGTGTGATGTTCCAAGCACAACACATAGGAACAAATATTGACAAAATGACATTTTGGTGTTCTTGCCACTGTGGCCTCAGAACTGCTCACTCCTTTACAAAGCCTCATTCCTCTGAAGCTGTTCATCCATATGACTCTCTCCCATTTCTTGTCTATCACTCTCATTAATACTACTGTCCTGCTACTTTAAATAGCCCTTGGTCTTTCTGTCCTCCCCTTTGGTACTTTAATGTTTACATAGACAATCCATTCAATATTTTGGTCTCTTAGTTGCTCAGTCCAATCTCTAGTGATTTCCACTCTGTCTTTACCCACTCCCTTAGTTACAGCCTGGCCATTGTCATGGGCAAAGTGCCTCATCTTTGAAACTCTTTTATTCATTGACCATATTTTTTCCACGTGTTTACTAAACCATTCTTTCTACTATCATTCTTTAATTTTATTGCAGCATTCAGGTCATTGCTTCTCCCTTCTCTCCAATAGCACTTGCCTTCTTTAGATTCCTATCCAGCTTGAATCCTAGTGATTTTCTTGCAATAGGCTGAATTCCCTTGCTTTTCATCTCTTTTTGGAACTCAAATAACATGAAATGTGTATGTGCCAGCATTTGGACAGCTAAATGCCGCCTGAGAAAACAAAACTAGAAGATACCAGTTGGTAGTTCCCTCAACATCCTGCCACTTATTTACCCACATATATCTACATCAATCTCTTTCTCTCATGTCTAAACAAAGCAAGCATCCCTCTCATCTAAGGCCAGTACCTGCTTCTGTGTTCTGAGTCCTAGCCTTTCCCTCTTTGAGGATCTCTGATTTCCTCTCACTTTATTCTCATCAGTGTTTAAACATGCCAAAGACTCCCAGTTAATAAACTATACCTCATTTCTCCTCCATTTACCATTCTATCTTTTTTTCTTTACAGCTAAACTTCTCAAAACAGATAGTTTGACCCTCTCCATCTTACAAGTCACTTTCCATTCCCATACCTCAACCCAGTCCATTTTGACTTTTACAACCCTTGTTCTATTGAAATGATTCTCACTAAGGTCACTTTGGTGGTGACCTTCCTATCCCCGAATCCAGTGGTTATTTCTTGGTCCTAGAGTTACTTCACTTCTCAGTAGTATTTAGTACTGTTTTCTAGTTCCTCATTGACGCTCCTCTTGTGGTGGTGTGATTCCACTCTCATAGTTTTACTAGTATCTCTTTGACCACAGCTTCTTAGCCTCCTTTGCAGACTCATCCTTTACAGCTTTGCAGCCTTTAAATCTAAAAGTTTTTGTAGGTCCTGTTCTTTCTCAGTCTAATTTTCTAGGATGGTTTCATCCCCACTTTGAGCTTTAGTTACTGATAACTTTGAGATCTCCTCCAAGCTACTTGACATCTCCATTTAGGTGTCTCAAAAACATCCCAAACTCAACAGGTTTCCTATAAACTTCCCTCCTATGTGTCATATTCATCCAGTTTCAAAGCTAGAAATCCAGGCTTTTTTTTTTCATCTGCTTAGTCAGTTGCCAGTCTATCAGTTTACTTTCTGAATATCCCTTGATTCTGTCTGCTTCTCTCTATCCTTACCATAATCGCTTACTGGAATGATTGCAGTCGCTGCTTCTCCCTATGCCCTCTTTTGTGCTCCTTCAATCTATTTTCCACTCATTGACCTTAAAACTCAAATGGATGCTTAAAACTTTGCAATAGCTTTCCATTCTTCTTAGTATAAAAACAGATTCTAAATATGACCTACAAGGCCCTGCATGATCGAGCCCCTGCCTATTTCCAGCTTTATCTTATCAGTAACTACCAAATACTGGACTGTCAATACTATTTGCTGAATTGACTTGAATCACACTTCACTCTCTCCCTCTCTGTGTTCCAATCACACTGGCCTTCTGTCAGTTCCTCTAACCCAGGAGTCCCCAACTCCCAGGCCATGGGCTGGTACCAGTCTGTGATCTGTTAGGAACTGGGTCTCACAGCAGGTGAGTGATGGGCAAATGAGTGAAGCTTCATCTGTATTTACAGCCACTCCCCATCACTTGCATTACCTCCTGATCTCCATCTTCTGTCATCAGTGGTGGTACTAGATTCTCACAGAAGCATGAACCCTATTGTGAACTGTGCATATGAGGGATCTAGGTTATGTGCACCTTGTGAGAATCTAATGCCTGATGATCTGAGGTGAAGCTGAGGCAGTGATACTAGCACTGGGGAGTGTTGCAAATGCAGATTAACATTAGGAGTGAAACTGGGCTCAGTGGCTCAGCCTGTAATCCCACGCTTTGGGAAGCTGAGTTGAGTGGATTGACTGAGCCTGCGGGTTCGAGACTCGCCTGGGCAACTTGGCAAGACCTCATCTCTACAATAAATCAAAAAATTAGCTGGGCGTGGTAGCGCACACCTGTAGTTCCAGCTACTTGGAAGGCTGAGGTGGAAGGATCGCCGGAGCCCAGCAGGTCGAGGCTGCAGTGGCTGGGAGCGGCCACTGCACTCCAGTCTGGGCGACAGAGTGAGACTCCAACTCAAAAAAAAAAACAAACATTAGGAGTGAGGTTTGACTGCACAGAGACCATAATAAATCAATACTTGCAGACTCATAGCAAAGTAATAATTTCATTATATATTACAATGTAATAATAATATAAATAAAGTGCATAATAAATATAATGCACTTGAATCATCCCAAAACCATCCTCCCCTCCTCAGTCTGTGGAAAAATTGTCTTCCACGAAACCAGTCCCTGATGCCAAAAAGGTTGAGGACTGCTGCTCTAACTAGCCATGCACTGTTTCATTATTATTTATCTGTCTACCCTACTCTTTGTGCCTGCTTTATCCTGGCTTGCAATGCTTCCCCCTTACTTTATCTACTTCTCATTCTTGAGATCTTAGTTCAAATACTATTTTCTCAAAGAATTCTTCCCAGACTCTAGCTCTCATAATTCCTCATGCTTTTGGTGTGTAGCACTTTTAACAGTTTATATACCCCTTGAGAGCAGAGTTCATGTCTGTATTGCTCATCATTGTATCCTTATCACAGTGCCTGGCACATAATACGTGCTTGGCAAATATTTGTTGAATGAACATCTTTTTCCTACTAGCTCAATTTACTATTGACATAATAGAATGGACTTTTATCAAAAGAGACAGAAGTGAACCTGCACATTTAACCTTTGACCTTTTGCCTAAATTTAGAGATTTTTTCATTAAAATCTCACTAAGTGGTATCTTCTACCATTTATATTCACAGATCCGTCAACATCTGAAACACCTAATCTGAATAAATCATTCTCTGCCATTCTAGTTTCCACACACTTTTTAAGTTAATGTTACAGTTCTGCTTAAATATCTCTTGAACGGTTTCCTTTCTTTCCATCTCCATTGTCATCACCTTAATCAAACTTTCATTAGCTCTTGTATAGAATACAGCAGCAGCCTCCTAACAACTTTTTGTTTAGATTCTGGACCCCTTTTGATAAGTTAAGAATTAACTTAGTTAAGAATTAACTTAGTTACATGTAACAGAGACTCAAGATAACAGTAACTTACAAAGTTTTATGTCTCTTTCAAGTGAAAATTGAGTCCAGAGCTGGTGTGGTAACTTCACAGTCATTTGAGAACAAGACTCCTTAGCAGCTTTCTGAGTGTTGTGTCTAGGGTATGACCCTTATTCTTGTGAACCAAGATGGCGCTTTCTTCATCACATAAACATTCCAAAAAGCAGAATGGGGCAAGGTGAAGAAGCATGCCCTCTTCCCTTTAAGAATACATACTAGAAATTGCACATCAGAAATTTGTCATGTGGCCAGATCCTATTACAAGGGAGGCTGGGAAATGTCATCTTTGTTCTCACCAGTCATTTACCCAACTAAAAATTAGAGTTCTATTACTAAGAAAGGAAAATGGCTACTGGGAGATACTTAGGAGTTACTTACTAATCTATTTTCCACACTAGCCAAGAATGATTCTTGTAACATACATTTAATTATGGAACTCATCTACTTAACACCTGTGATGTTCATACTCAGCATCACAACTGAGGTGTTCTCTGATCAGGTCCTAGATAACCTCTCTGGCCTTATCTCCAACCATCTTTCCCCAGTTTTTGATTCTCATATCTTTGTTTATAAAAGGATCACTTTATTTGTGGTGCTTGGATATACCTTGCTAGTTCTGGACTCTGTTTTTCCTTTTCTGGTTATGCCCCACATTTATCCATATATTTATACATGCCACACATATTTAAGTGACTTTTACCAATAGTAGATTAAGCCTTGTTCTCTTGTAACTTAATGTAGATATGTGAAGGTCAATGTAGGACAAGTAATCGCAACTGTGATGAATTTTATACAAACTCTGCTTGTTTGGGGATGAAGGAGAGCTTCCCTAGGGAAGTGATTTTGAAGCTGATTCAAAGGATGAATTAAAAATAATCAGACAAAATACCAGGGGAAGGGCTGTCCTCCTTCAAGTCTTTGCTCAGCTGTCGCCTTTTTATTAAAGCTTACTCTGATTATTCTATTTAAAATTGTAACCCATGCTCCCCTCAGACATTCCTGATCCCCCTTATCATGCTGTTTCTTTCTTTTTCTTTTTTTTTTTTTTGAGCTGGAGTCTCACTCTGTCGCCCAGACTGGAGTGCAGTAGCCGTTCCCAGCCACTGCAGCCTCAACCTGCTGGGCTCCGGCGATCCTTCCACCTCAGCCTTCCGAGTAGCCGGAATTACAGGCACGCACTACCATGCTCGGCTGATTTTTTAATTTTATTGTAGAGATGAAGTGTCGCCAAGTTGCCCAGGTGGGGCTCGAACTCGCGGGCTCAGGCAAT